GCACATCTCCGCGGCCCGAGGGCAGGTCCGTCAGGGCCCCTGCACGCCCTGCCCAGCTGCCCGGGCCTTCCCTCAGCCCTGGGCCTCCCTGCGTCCAGCCCCACCCAGGGCATGCTGGGCACAGGCTGTCAGAGCTCGAAGGGCCCCGAAAACTCTCTGTCCGAATCTTCACCCACTGAAGAGGCAGGTAAGGCCCAGAAAGGCAATGCGACCTGTCTAAGGCCACATGGCCAGCCGGGCGCAGGGACCAGCACCCTGACCTCTGGCTCCTGCCCTTGCGCTGCTGCCCATCTGTGTTCTCCCACTACCAGGGCCAGCGTGCCAGGCTCCGCCAGAGCAGTCCCTCCCCAGACCCAGGCTCCCGCGGCAGCCTTGCTCTCCAGCGACCCTGCGTACCCAGGACACTCAAGGGCTGGGCACAGGCAGGACCCCAGCGGACACACCAGCACCCTGGGCTGGGCAGGAAGGAGTGCCCCACCCCCACTACAAGCCCTGGGGGCACCAGGAGAGCTCAGGGGCTTCCTTTGATGGCATCCAACCAGGCCCCTGCCTGCTGGGAGCTTGGGGAGCCCCTGGGCCGTGGCAGGGAGTCATGAACCCATTTCAGCGTGAACCGGCCTGACCTGGCGCTCCGTGGAGCTGGTGCCAACGGGGTGGGGCAATCATGGCCTGTTCTGTTCTCACAGCTCAACCCAGCTTCATGTCCCCGCAGGTACCCAGGGGTCCCTCCTGCTCCCCTCCCTGAACCTAGACAAACCCCCCAGTATGGGCACCCTCAGACCACAGGCCGATTCCCAGCCCCTCCACCCCCGGCCACCAGCACAGGCAGTGTTAACCCCGGAGAGCTCAGTCAGCCTGGAATCAAACCGGGCTCCGGAGTAAGAAGCCAGGGCCGCGAGGCCTCTCTTGCTCCAGGGATGGGAGACAAGGCGTCTGGCTTCTGTCCCTCCTGCGTGACCTACGGGACAGTCACATCCCTCTCAGCTTCTTGATCCAGAAGATGAGAGTGTTGGGCGATGGCTGTTTCCCAGAGGGCTCCAGAGAGCACGTGCGGTTCCTCGGCGAGGCCTGGAGGCCAGTTAGTGGAGAAGATTCGCTTCCCAGGTGTACGCAGGGGGCGCCACGTAAGATTTCAGTGCAGCAGAAGAGCCTCTGCTACAAAGAACCTGAACGTGGCTGGGGGGTGAGCGCTCAAGTCATTTCTCGCTGATCGTGCCTCCTACACACACGAAAGGCCCTGGAGTCCTGTTAGACCAGAATGGAAACACCTCCTGGTTTGTTCATTCATTCGCTCGTTTATCACACGTTTGTTGTTTATCCTCAGCTGGTTTAAAGGACACTGAGCTGCCTGTTGCCAAGCAAACAGCCTTTGATGGTCTAGGAGCTTACTGCCTTAGTTTCCCCCCACGCGCCGCCTCTGCCAGTGCTGGTACATAGTGGGGCTCCCTGGGCAGTACTGGTAGGTCCTCCCTATCAGACAAGCCAGCCTCCAGCAGGTGCTGCCAAGGCCCCTGCTCGGCTGACAAAACCCCAGGTCCAGGGTTCCTGGCTTCCCTCATGTCCCCACCAACACCTGCACACCTGTACCAAGAGGAAGCTTTTCTGCCAAAATAAGACACTTGAGCTAAGTGGCTGTTGCTACATCAGCCAGCCTTCCTGCTCGGCACCCCTGCCTGGAGCCCCGCACACACCCCCACACATTCTTACTCCCATTTGCCAAGTCACAGGAACAATGCAGGGGGGGCGGGGCAGGAGTCGGCACCCATGACAACAGGAAACAGGTCTCAGGTGCAAGCTGCATGCTTGCAGGACAAAGGGCAGGTGCCAGGGTCCTAAAGGGGCCTGTCCCCTGAGTTTTGGAGGACGGCAGAGTGACCTGAGCCAACTGGTCTGCCATCATAGGAACCTGCCCAGCCCCGCTCTGGAGAGGGTGTCTCATCTGAACCATTCCTGGGACCTCCAGCCATTGTCCAGTCCACAGGCCCTGTGGTCTTGGGCTGGTTGAGAACCTGTTCCCCTGTAAGAAGACCCAATATAAGAAAATCCCCTCTGCAAAGGATCGTTGTCCACATCAATCTCTCTTTAATAGACATTGCACTTTTTTAAGTGTGAAGAATGTGACTCGACTGAAAAAAGAAGCACAAAATACACACTATTTTTAAAAACAAATACACATGACCAGTGTGGTACACCTGTAATCCCATTCTATCTCATTTCAGAGATTGTCCTGAAACCACAAAGGGGCAATTGTCCAACCCTTTGATCTGGTGGATGAAAAACCTAGGCTTGGGGAGGAGAAGATACTCATCCAAATTTGTAAAGGAGCCAGGACAAGGCCATTAATGATGATAACAATAACTCTTGACTCTCTATGAATCTATCTTTATCTCCATCTCTAGCTCCATCTCCATCTCCATCTCATCTCCATCTCCATCTCCATCTCATCTCCATCTCATCTCCATCTCCATCTCATCTCCATCTCATCTCCATCTCCATCTCTATCTCCATCTCATCTCCATCTCCATCTCTATCTCCATCTCATCTCCATCTCCATCTCCATCTCCTCTCCATCTCCATCTCCATCTCCATCTCCATCTCCATCTCCATCTCCATCTCCATCTCCATCTCCATCTCCATCTCCACCTCCATCTCATCTCCATCTCCATCTCCATCTCCATCTCCATCTCCATCTCCATCTCATCTCCATCTCATCTCCATCTCCATCTCCATCTCCATCTCATCTCCATCTCCATCTCATCTCCATCTCATCTCCATCTCCATCTCCATCTCCATCTCCATCTCCATCTCCATCTCCATCTCCATCTCCATCTCCATCTCATCTCCATCTCATCTCCATCTCCATCTCATCTCCATCTCATCTCCATCTCCATCTCATCTCCATCTCCATCTCCATCTCCATCTCCATCTCCATCTCATCTCCATCTCCATCTCCATCTCCATCTCCATCTCCATCTCCATCTCCATCTCCATCTCCATCTCATCTCCATCTCATCTCCATCTCCATCTCATCTCCATCTCATCTCCATCTCCATCTCATCTCCATCTCCATCTCATCTCCATCTCCATCTCCATCTCCATCTCCATCTCCATCTCCATCTCATCTCCATCTCCATCTCATCTCCATCTCCATCTCATCTCCATCTCCATCTCCATCTCATCTTGATCTATGGCAGATACTATTCTAAAAGAGCCTTACATGTGAAACTATTCCAAGACTCCTTCAAGGAAGATACTATTTTCATTCCATTTCACAGATGCTCATAGTCACAGGTAGCCTGGAACTTGGTCAGCATTCTGTCCACCACATCCTGTCGCTCTTCTTTGGAATACAGAGAATCAGAGAACCCTCTCCACTCCTCTTCCAAGAGCCCCGGAAAACCCAACCAGCTCACACAGGAGCTTCGTCGGGCTTCAGCCCACTGGCCACCGTCTCCCTCACAAGTTCATGGAGCAGAAGAACAGAGGCCGAGGTGCGCTGCTTTGCAGGGGAGCCGTAGAGGACCAGTCCCTCCTAGTCCCTCCCAGTCAGCTCCTAGTCAATGTTAAGAAACCTGCCGGCAGCTCTCCCTGCCCCCACCCCCTCACTGTCTTGCCCGTGTCACCTTAACCTGGGGGGCGAGTTTAGGAGCCTCAGAAAAGGAAGCAGTGATACACTTCTTTCATCCCATGTAAGTTATGTCAGTCTCCCAGAACGAATATGGCACCTGCCGCACCATCGGACACTTACTCCACCAGTAATGAAAAGCCTGCTGTCCACCCTGTGCCCCGCCAGTGTCCTTCCCTATGGCCCCTGACCCTGGGCAGAGTTGCTCCCTAGCAGCACCCTTCAGAGAGCTTGACCTTCCTCACTGTCTGTGTTTAGGGACCGTCACATTAGACTCCCAGCAATTTACCGGGGAACATGACTGTGACCGCAGGTTGTCTCTCCATGCCCCAGACAGAACCCCATTCTCTCTGGACATCACCCTTTGTGCTTCCCAGAGGCCCCAGTGAGCCCTGGAGGCCTAGGGCAAGATGCCCTCGGTGGGGTGGAGACATGAACCAAGGAGACCAGAGCCGACGGCAGAGAACGCCTGGGAATAGAGGTCAAAACGGAGCTGACACTTGGTGGGGGAGATGACGGTAAACGCGGCAGCAATACGTCGGGGGTTCAGAATGGACCACAAGCCAACCAGGAGCCAGAACACGGGCCGAGCTGACCCTCCAAAACGCAGCGTGGGCCTTCTTCCCAGAGTCCCTTCACTTCCATGAGGAGCAAAGAGGCGAGGGGTAGACGAGACCTAAGGAGAAGTCAGAGCCCACCAGGAATTTCCCTCAAGAGAAGAAAGCTGAGACACAGCTGAACAAAGTCTTTGGAAACCCTCGTGTGTGTGACGGCTTTTTCCAGAGCACCTTTCGCTGCTCTCCACCCAGCAAGAGCGGAAGGAGCCTGAACTGTAGCAGGAGGAATTGTGGATAGACATAAGGAAGCACTTCCTGAGCAAGAAGATTATTAAGCCCAAATATAAGTGGCCAAGGAAGGTTGGAAAAACCCCTTGATCTTAAGTGCACATAGTGACATTTTTTTGAATGATTTATGAGTCTAGTGCGGGGATGGCCAAGTGAGCTAGAAACCCAGGTAGGGCGCTAAGGCCTTGTGATTCTCAGACCAGCAAAGGCGATGATCTAACAGCATAAATGTCCTGGCTGGGGTGCTCCCAGGCCACAGAGCTAAAGCCCAGTATTCAGCCACACAGCCCTGGGGTGCTTTCGGGACAGACCCCAAATCCCATCAGCCTGTCTCTCCTTCCTAAAAGGGTCCCTCCTCAGAACCACGTAAAAGGAAGCCAAGCGGTCTTGGCCCCGAGGAGCTTTAGAGCAGAAAGACACGTTCAGTCTCCCCAAACCCGAGGCGCAGGTGGCAGAGCCTCGCCTACCTCCCAGCCCCATCCCAGCTTCCCGGCGCCACGCGGCTCTGGCCCGGGGCCCAGGACACTCACCGCGCCGCCGCTCCTCTCCATGGTCTCCGAGGGACGGGGCTTCCACGCTCAGCCGGAACCGACGGGAAGGTCCATGCTGGCGCCTGGTCCCGGGCATGTGGGGAGAGGGGCTGGCCCGGAGGGGTGGGGAGGCCTGCTGGGACCTGTGAGGCAATCGGAGCACAAACAACAAGGCAGAACTAGCCAGACCTGTCCTCAGCCCTCCCCCGGGTCCTTCCCAGTTACTCAGCAAATACCAAGTGAGTAGGAAGCTCGCTTACTCCTGGAGCTGCCCCACGGAGCCACTGCTGGGGACCTGGTTCCAGAAAGCCTCCTCCGAGGGAGGTTCTGGGAAGACAGTCTGAGCCCAGTCGACCTGCGCCCCTAGGACAGGTGCTCTCCAGCAGCCCAAGGTATGGCCCTGTCTCTGTCGGGGATGTCCAAGGCGGGGACCAGAGCCCCATGCCAGGCAGGGCAAAGTGACCCTGCATCTCCGAGGACCACCTGTCCAAACCCCAGATCAGCACCGGCCCTGACATTTTCCCCGTGAACTTTACTTCTACAAAAACGCCTAAGACAGAAATTCAAATCACATGACCTCTAATTATGCACCTAGTGAATTGTGTCTATTGAAAACAATAAAATGCTATAAAACAACATGCCAAGGCCAATTAATATAAAATCTATAAGTACCTGAATGGAAACCGTTCCAAGGAGTGTTGGGCTGACTCATGGCCCCACACCTCTGCCCCATCCACACTCCCAGAATCACAAGGAATGGAGAAGGGCCACGAGAGGGGCGCTGAGCACCTCCAAACCCAGAAGAGCTGCCACCAAGGGCCGCGGCAGGGACCGGTGGGGGCAACCGGCCGGGCTGTGTTTGGGGTTAGAGGCCGGGGACCTGCAGGTATTTGGAGACCGAAGGGAGCTCAGGACACTCATGATCCAGTCTCCCCCCGACAGGCGAGAAGCCGTCTGCATGGGGCACGTCTAACGGCAGCCACGAGAACGAGGTGCGGGTGTCCTGCTGAGTACTTTACATGTGGCCGGGCCACCCCCGCACGCTTCACTCACATGGTCAACAACCACGTATGCGGGGCTTCTGACATGCCACGTGCTGGGGACACTGTGAGGAGGTGGGCAAAGACACTGCCCTGTGTCACCAGCACACAGAGATAATGGACAGGTAGGTAGGTAGGTAGATAATAGATGATAGATAGATAGATAAAAGATGCTAGATAGATGATAGATACATAGATGCATAGATACATAGATACATAGATACATAGACAGACGACAGACGATACAGTATATCAGAAAGTGCCAGGTGCCACAGAGAACAGCAGAGCAGGGAAGGGGTCAGGAGGGCTGGTAGTCAAGGGTTACAGTGTGAAACTGGGAGGCTAGAGAGGGCCCCACTGGGGTGAGGTTTAAGCAAAGACTTAGAGGAGTGACTGCTGCCCCCCCACGTGAGAAACCAGGAGCGCTGAGCTCCTAATGGAAGGGTCGGCTCCAGCTGACGGTGTCGGGACAGACACCGAACCCAGAGGCAGAATTCAGCCAGGGCCCGGGTGGGGACCCCAGGGGTGTCCAACCTTGGGTTATTCTGGGGTGTCTGTTTTCTAGCTGTGGAAGAGAGCAGAACTCTGCCGCAGGCCACATCCCCTTCCTGTGCCCTGACAGCAGAGGGACCCTCCCTTGTCCTCGCGCCTCCTGCTCCCCCTCGTCCCTCTCTCCTAGGGAGGCGCTACCAGGCTGTCGCTGAGCCTTGGTTTCCATTGGCCAGACCTGAGGAGCCCACTCTGGCCCCAGGCAGGCCCCTGTCCCCCAGGGTCGCCCTTGGCTTTATCCCCTGAAGCTCTTGCCTCTCAAAAGACCTCAGCCCTGGAGTCCCAGGCCCGTCAGAGGAGGGAAACCTAACTCCAAGGGAAGGCCAGCTACGTGAGCTTGGAGCTCCCCAGGGCCCGCGGCTGGAGCATGGAGGGGGTACGCAGACCGGAGAGTGTGTCTGCTCCGGAGAAATGCCGGGTTCGTTCTTGTTCGTACCTGGCTTCCATCAGAAACACAAGTTGGCCCAACCCAGAGCCCTCGGTGACCAAGCCGTCCGGCCATCTGGAACCCCATCGGCCACTGGCTCAGCTCAGGGAGACCAGGCCTGGCCGTGGCCAGGGTGGCAGAGGATGGCCAAGAACCAAGGCAGGGCCTGCCGGGCCCAGGAAGCACAGCTGCTCGGACATGCAGGGTCAGGGCACGGACGCCCGCGCAGTCGAAATGTGTGGTCGCACATAGTCTGTACCTTATATGTATTCTAGTCTGTATGCTTACAGCAAAGTAAGTCAGAGAGAAGAAAATGCTAAGAAGATCCTAAGGAGGAGAAACTGCATTTACACGACTGTGGGAACCTACTTTTAAATGCCCCCATGGAGGGGACTGGCCAGTTCAAGGCCATGCTGTTCAAGGTCAGGGGCACGTGAGCTGGGGATGGAGGGGACACTGAGGCAGGAGGTCCTTTGAGGCAGGGGTCCTGCTACCCGAGAAGGTACCGGATGGCATGAGGCCTGGACTCTGCCCCAGCAGAGCTCGCCCCAAAAGCCTGCCCTACCCCTGGCTTCTGCACACGATCCTGCAGGCTCTGCCCTTCCTGCCTCCCTCTGACCACCCCTTCCTTTCGCCTCCCTCCCCTCCAGCCATCCCCTGCCCGCCTCCCTCCAGCAAGCCGACCCCCTTCTCCTCACACAAGGCAGAAGCCCCCCCAGTGCCTCCCGAGGGGTCGGGACCCCAGGCCAGCCACCAGGCCCATTCGTCCTGGTCACCGGCCACCTGTCACTCCCAGCCCAGGCGGAGGGTCTTGGGGCAGCACACACCTCCAGGCGGCCGGGCGAGGGGCCCCAGGAGACGACAGCCTCTCCCCCTCGGCCGTGCCAGCAGCCACAGCCCCAGCCCCGGGCGCGCCTTCCTGGGACGGGGCCTGGGACAGGCTCTTGGCTGTTCGAGCCCCCCCTTGGCGCTGGGGATCCTCTTTCCCAAGCCCTCCTCCATCAGCCTCACTCCCAAACGACTTCCCGGCTCCCTCTGGGGAACCCCTGAGGACCCGTCCTCCTCCGCACCCCACTTCTGAGTCTTCATCGCTCAGAGCCCAGCAGAGGGGTGCCCCTCCACCCTGAGGGGCCAGGACACAGACCACATATTAGAGGTCAGAGCAGGGAGGACCAGCTCCCAGGAGAGACCCCTGGGCCGGACCCCAGCTGCCCCTCCTGCCCCGGCCGGGGCGCTGCTCCCTACGCCCGGACCAGCAGGGCCGCGGCTCCGGCGCACACCAGGGCTCGGTCCAGGGGCTCCCGGGTATCGTGAGAAAAGCAGGGAGGGTGGAGGTGTTAGTTTCTAAGCCAAGAGCAAACAGCCTGTGAGCCTAAGTAGAACTCTGGTCTCCCGCTGGCCCCTCGGGCAGTCCTAAGGCTGGGGCTCTGCTGGCGGGCGAGGGGGGGCTCCCTGTTCCCAGCTGACATGGGGCCTCTGGGCTGGTGACGGTGACAGTGGGAGAAGGCCCAGCAGGGAGACCAGAGGGTACGCGTGGGCGGGGACGCTGAGGCTGGCCGACCGACCCGGCTGCAGCCCCGCAGCAGGTCTGCCTCGGAGCCCAGGCCCTGAGCCAGCAGCCAGGGTCCCTCCCTCGAGGGCTTGTGGGGGACAAAGTGGGACAAAGCCCCACCCCCTCCCTGTAATTGCCACTGTTCTTCGCATCATCAAACACCCGTGATTAGATGGGGTCAAGCAGGTAAGGACCCCCGGCACCTCAGCACACGCTGGCCCCCGCCCCACGAACGAGGGTGACCCTGGCCTCCAGGACCCCGAGCCAGAGGTGGCCTCCCTAGAAGCTGCCCAGCTGGGCCCGATGGCCGCAGGGAGCAGAGAGTACCACCTGCTCTGTGTAGCTGCTCCTCCTTGCGACACTCACCCGTTTCCCGGCGCTTCCTAGCTCCCTCTGGGGACACAGGTGCCCCTCCGCATGACAGCCCTTCTCACGCAAGGCGATGGTTGGGTGACAGTAATAGCCCATGTTTTCCACCTGAACACAGCCAGTTTCTTCATTTGCTCCAGGGTGAGGCAGGGAGGTAGTTGTTTTAAATTTTTTGAAAATACGTTTTTATTGATTTTTTTTTTAGAGAGAGAAGAAGGAGGGAGAGAAAGACAGAAACATCGATGTGAGAGAGCAACATCCAGCGGCCGCCTCCTGCACGCCCCCTACTGGGGATGGAGCCGCAACCCCGGCATGTGCCCTGCTAGGAATCAAACCGGAACCTCTCCGTCTATGGGATGACGCTCAGTCCACTGAGCCACGCTGGCCGGGCCAGTGAGGCAGTTTTAAGTCCCTTCATCACCATGGATTTGTCCCAAACAGGATCCATGGGCACCGTGGCCCTCCTGAGGTGTGGGCCCAGGGCCTCATGACCACGTTGACACGGGCACCGCAAACAGAGCCGACCCGATGCTCCCTGGACCCACCCCGGGCTGCTGCTGCCTCTCCCGGGACTAAGGCAGCTGCAGGCAGACAGCGACACTGCCAGGCGGGAGTCCCTGCCCATGGCCAGAGCCCCCCGCTCAGGGCCCACAACTGTCACCACGGGACCCCAGGCAGGCACATCTGTGCCCGCTCTGATTCCCCAAGGAGGCTGCTCCAGAAGGTACTGGAAAGGCAGGCGGGGGGACAGCTTGGCACTCTGGCTGGAGGGGGGCTTGACAGGCCTGGGAGGGACAGTCAGGGCGGTGGGCACAGGGTGGTCTGGGAGGAACAGTCAGGGCGGTGAGCACGGGGTGGACTGGGAGGGACAGTCAGGGCGGTGGGCGCGGGGTGGACTGGGAGGGACAGTCAGGGCGGTGGGCACAGGGTGGTCTGGGAGGGACAGTCAGGGCGGTGGGCGCGGGGTGGACTGGGAGGGACAGTCAGGGCGGTGGGCGCGGGGTGGACTGGGAGGGACAGTCAGGGCGGTGGGCGCGGGGTGGACTGGGAGGGACAGTCAGGGCGGTGGGCGCGGGGTGGACTGGGAG